TGGATCCAGTTTCTCAGTCACCTGCCGTTTCACCACCTCCACCCCCATCCCTGCCCCCATGTCACCATCCCAAACAGAGGTGCCGCCATTCAGAGCCAGAGGGGGAAGATGGCCTTTCCCACTGACCAGGATTCCCAAGGGCCTTGAATGTCAAGCCCAGGAGATCCTCAGAGCCCAGCCAGGTCTGTCCTGGGTGCTGTGAAGGGGACCTGCTCTCCCAGACCCACATCCTAACTCACGCCCAGGCTGAGCCACAAAGGCCGGGGTCCTTCGCCCATTGAGTGGCGAAGGGGGCTCTGGGAACAGGAGCCGTAAAAATGGACAGCGTTTTTGTGAACGGCACCGAGCTAGCTACTGGAATTTAATCACTGCTGAAAAGAACGGAACACTCCGTTGAGCTAGCTCTCGGTGTCCACCTCACAGCGCTAAGAAAACACACGGGGCAGACCACAGGCTTGACTCCAGGTCCGCAGTGGAGACAGACAGGTAATCAGCTGAGACACCACATGAAGGGTCTCAGCCATGCTCCTGTCGTGTGTTAGGTTACCCTTGCTTCGTGGCATGATTAAGTGCCTGTGAAACAGGAGAGAAGTTACATTCTGTTCCCCTACTAACTTCCAGACGTTTTCCTTCATCCGTTTACTGTCAGGCCACAGGGGGTGGGGCGGGAGCGGACAAACACTCCGAGGGTGTAGGAATGTGAATGCTCACTATTCAAAGCTGGAGACAATTTCTGTAAATGGGACCGTTCTTTCGCTGTGTGAATAGACAGCCCAGAAATAAACCAGCAGCCCGGGTGGGGGGTTTCCTTTCTAGAAGGCTCATGTTTCAGGAAACCCACAGCCTCTGGGAAACAGCTCGGGAGAAGCGGGTGTTACCTTGACCAGTGACGAGTGAGGGACCTGGAACTTCCGGGTTTCCTCCTGGAACATCGGGGGGACCTGGACCTTGATGTCCCAGAGCTGGGGGGAGGTCCCTCTTCTCGGCCCATCAACTGCATGGTCTGACACAGAAGCGAGCGTTGTGAGACAGCAGACGGCGGCCGGGACAAGCTTTCACTTAGTCACCGAACAGCACGAGCCTTCCCGTGGTGCCAGGCATAGGCCAGACCCCGGCGCTACCAGGAGGGGTAGATCCGGGCCCCCCTGGAGTTCGTAGTGAAGCACCCAAGCTTTGGGGTTGAAGGGTCTTGGGTTTGACTCCTGGTTCTTCTACTTCCAGGTGGGTAACACTAGACACGTTACCTAACCTCTCTGACCTTCCACGGTCTCATCTCTAAAATGGGGATAACTTTTCACTCACCGCAGAGGTTGGCAGTGACCATTACACAGACGGCATCTGCGTGCTAGCACAGGGCCGGCACATGCCGGGGCGCAACACACAAGAGCTATCACCCCTATCGTCTCCTCCCCACCGGCTTCTTCCTCTTCTGTTCAAGGGAACAGATACAGCTAAACCCAAGGGTGAGCACTTTGGCCAAGAATCGCATAAAGGGCTCCGAAATCCCAGACACTGACTCATTCTGCCGGGGACCAAAGTGGTGGGAGAAGAAATGCTGAAAGGCTTCATAAAAGGGGCAACTTGTGAGCTGAGTCTCGAGGGATGAAACAAAGGAGTCAGCAGAGGGAACAGGTGGGGTGTGGGCTTCCCAGACAGAACCCAGAGCCTTAGCAGGGTCGGCAGGAGGCGGGCTGGCTCAGTGAACGGGGACCTGGGGCAGCCTGGGGGGCAGCAGACGCCCGAGCACACACGCTGCCTGTGCCAGCTCTCCCGTGGCAGCACCAGCCTGTGGCCAAAGGCAAATGCAAGGCTTTCTCAGGACCTTCTGCTAACCGCTTTCTGCACAGCAAGCAGTGCGAAGACCAGCACGGGGAAGTCAGTCTCTGCCACGAAAGCCCTCCCTCTCATTTTACAGGGGACGGGGAGACCGAGGCTCCAGCAGAAGAGCATATCCTTCCAGGTGAGTGCTCAGACTAGCTCCTGCCAGACTTGCTCCCAGGGACACTCATTTCAGACAACTCACTAGTAAAGGGCTGAAATGTCCATTCGCTTATCCTGGACTCGCTGAAAGTCTCCAGTCGATACTGTAGAAAAAAAGACATCATGTCCACTCACACACTCCTGGCCGTAGGAATACGGAGCTTTGTGCAAAAAGTGGGGAAACCAGGGGTCTCACACACCGCACAGGGGCTGCTCAGAGCAGGCTGCCACCAGCGACTTCTGTCCCAACTGCCCCGGCACGTCTGCAGGGAGGTCAGTGTGCCCAGGGAATCTCCCTGACAGGCTCACAACGGGGAGATTTCCGTTCCCCATTTCTTTATACGAGGAATGTTCTAAGGCAAGGTTTGGAGAGGCATTTGCCTTCTGACAGGTGGAGGCCCCTGGAATCCACTGCCCTGAGGGTCCCCCCTGGAGGAGCTGATCTGCCTGAAGCCATGATCCTTCTTGATCCTCGTCCACAGAATCACACACCAGAAAGGTATCGTGGACATCACCTGGCTCCTCCTTTCTCACGTGAGGAAACGGAGACCCAGGGAAGTCAGTGGACTTGCCCAAGGCCACACAGCTATGCAGAGCTCTTTCCCCAGATCCCTGCTCTAACCAGTCCCTCCAGGCCGGCCCCTCACCCTGCACATGGCCCCCCAGGCCAGCCCCTTACCCTGCTCTAACCAGTCCCTGACAGGCCGGCCCCTCACCCTGCACACGACCCCCCAAGCCAGCCCCTTACCCTGCTCTAACCAGTCCCTGCCAGGCCGGCCCCTCACCCGGCACACGGCCCCCCAGGCCGGCCCCTTACCCGGCACAGCATCTGTTGCTTCATCTGCTGGATGACCAGGTCGCTGGCGGCTGAGCGGCCATAGCAGCATTTGGAGCTCACAAAGCTGAGGAGGGCTTCACGCGCCACCTCCTCTGTCACCAGAGGGACTCTGTCGGGGATGGAGCAGAGAGGCAGGGGTCTGGGGAGGCCCTCACTGGCCCCCAGGGCGGGAAAGCACTCAGGAGTCCCACGATGGAGGGTGTGTCAGCGAAGGGGTCCATGGGAACCGAGTGTTAGCTCAAGTGTGAGCTCAGGAGTCGGTTGATAGAATCTCAGAAATAAAAATAAAAACATACTTAAAGATGAATTATGCCATTTTGAGATGAGGAAATGGACAGCCAGAGAAGGCATCACAGCTAAGGAGGTGGGGCTAGTTGGTCCCTGCCCTCGGGAGCTTGACCTCAACCAGAGGAGCTGTGAGCCCCTTCACGGGAGGACCGCAGCCAGGAACCAGCCAGGAACCAGCCAGGAACCAGTGACGGCGCGACCACAGCTCGTGACTCACCGTGAGCTGGACCAGAGCGTGGCCAGGGGAAGGCAGACCCTCCTCGGCCTGCTCTCTGGACACCTCCCCCTCCTGCTACAAAGCTCTCCTGAGGCCCAGCTGTCAGGTCCCCTCCTCCAGGAAGCTCTCCGGCCCCAACCTCTCCTCCTTCCTCCCGCTCACATCTTCATGCGTTTCTCCACAGCAGCCCAGCTCCCATGGTCAGCCCCTCTCATGTGCATTGTGTCTCCAGCCCCAGGACCTGGCTGCCTGTGGGAGGCTGCAGGCTGCAAGGCTTGTGCCCCATGCCCTCTCATTCTCTCCCAACAGGGAGGAGAGGTGGCCGAGGGGAGGCGCTCCAGGCTCCCCCTCTCTGGGCACAAAGCTGGCTGTGACCTTGGAACTCTGCCCCAGTCCTCGCGAAACAAGGAGGGCGTGGGCCTCTCCAGGGAGCAGCCGGCTTTTTCTGGAAAGAGCCAGAGAGTAAATATTTCAGGCTTTGCGGTCCATCTAGTCTGTGTCTCAGCCACTTACCTCTGCTGTTGCAGTGGGAACGCAGCAAGTAAAACAGAGGAGAGGGCTGTGTTCCATAAAACTCGATTCACAAAACCAGGCGGTGGGCTGGGTTTGACCCCAGGGCCATAGTTTGCAACTATGGTTTTCAACTCTGGCTTGGTAGCCAAGCAGCCTGCAGAGCATGGTAAATACAGATTCCCAGGCCCCGTCCCTGGAGAATCTGACCCAGGTCTGGATCCTGATGGGCTGTTGGGGTTGAGATCTGTGGCCCCTGAGGCCCCCCCCAGGGGGGCTCTTGGGGGCAAGGGTGATGGAGCAGTTCACCCCCCGTGATCCTGTGCGATGGCTCCGGGAGGGTCACCAGGTCACACCTACAGCTCACCTGTGTTCCAGGAACGAGGACCAGCATGTTTGCTCCGGGGGCCTCCGTGGGGCCTCCAAAGGCGGGAAGAAGATCTGCTGCCCTGGAAGAGAGGGAGGAGTCAGGACTCGCTCAAAGGAACGGACACCTGTGGTGGAAGCAGGAAAGAGGGGCCGAGTGTGAGAGGGAGCAGAGGGAGAAGATCAGCATTATTCTGTCTTAAAGGGTCATGGTCAGGGGATGCTCGCGGACACAGGGCTTGTGCCCATGTCCTCCCATTCCCTCCCAACAGTGACAAGGGCCTTCCCAGCCCCCAGAGGAAAGGGGAGCTACCCCAGCACTGGCCTGATCCAGAGACGTCCCCCCAATCAGAAGCCCCCGGAAGAGGACGTAGGAACCAAGACCCCACAGACTTACCGCCTCCTTGACAAAGGCAGTCATAGCTGGGCAGCCTCTCCAGGAGTTCAACTGGGGGCACCAGAGGGCTCTCGGCCTCGAAGCTGAGGTCGGCCACACCTGCAGAGAGATGGGTGGTCCCGAGCCTCAGGGAGGGAGGGGCGTCTACGGGGACTTCCCAGGAAGCTGACCAGTGAGGGCAGGCACATACTAAAAGCCTCACCCTAATTAAGCCTGGCTCTCTCTGGCACCCTCAGGAGGCAGAACACATCTGCAGGGTGAGAGGGGTGGGTGGGGGCAGGATAGTCGCAGCGGTAATTATAAGGATGGGAAAACCTTGAGAATGGCAGCTCCTGGTTGAGGGCCACCTGCTCTGTGCCAGTCACCATGACAGGAGCTTTATAAACATTGTCATAGGCCACCACCCTGGAGATGCATACTGAGTTACAGATGGTCACGCTTTCTTAAGGCCCCTCTCTCTCTTTGAAACATGGGTCTATGTCTCCTCCCCTTGAACCCGGGCAGGTTCAAGACCAAAGGAACACAATGGAAGTGATGAAGTGACTGCAGCGTCTACTTCTGACCACTAGGAGCATTCCCTCTTGAGCCCTGAGCTGTCATGTAAGAAATCAGACCATCCTACCAGTCAGACCATGTGGAGATGCCCTAAGAACAAATGGAGAGGGCTCAGTGGAGCCCAGCCTTCTAGCCACTCCGGCCAAGCCACCAGGCAAATGAGTGAAGCCATCTGGGACCGTCCAGGCCCGACCAAGCTGCCCACTAACTACCACTGAGTGACCTGTTTGGACTGCATGGCTGTGTCACTCCCCTCAACTCCCGCCAACTCCAATGTTGAAACCCTAACTGCCCAGTGGAATGGTATCTGCAGATGGGCCTGTGGGAGGTGGTTACATCTAGATGAGGTCATGAGGGCAGAGCCCCCATAAAGACCCTAGTGTCCTTACAAAAAGAGAAAAAGACGAGGGTGTTCTCTCGCTGGCATGTGCACACTCAGTGAGAAGGCAGCTGTCTACAAGCCAGAAGTGAGTCCTCACCAGACGCCAGATCTGCCAGGACCTTGATCTTGGGCTTCCCAGCCTCCAGAACTAAAAGGACTAAATGTCTGTTGCTTAAGCCCCCCAGTCTATGTGTTTTTGTTACAGCAGCCCAAACTAAGACAGACCCTCACTCGTTCCACGCAAAGCAGGAGAATCACCCAGCGGAGCCCTGCCCAAAATTTTGACTTGAAAAATAATGAAACATAGTGAAATGGTTGGTTTGAAGACAGTGAGATGTGGAGCAGTTTATTACACAGCTTCCTATGATGGACAGTCTTTGCCCTAGGACTCCCCACAGACATGGGCAAAGAGCCCTGAGCTGTCATGTGAGCTGGGCCCACACCATGTTCTGAAGCTCCTTCTCATGTTCCTTCTTCCCACTCTCCTCTTACATGTCTGACCGGCCCTGAGGTCTGAAGGCTGTCCCTGCCCCCGTCTGTTCCCTGTCCCTTTTTCCCTTCACAAGTATCTCCAAAGGACCTCTGGCACATCTAATGCCGTCTTGGTGTCTGCTTGTTGCATGACCCCAAATGACAGACCATTCCTACCCTGTTCTACCAATGAGAACACGGAGGCTCAGAAAGGTGGTGACTCGCCCAGGATCACACAGCCAGTAGTGATGGAGCTGCATTAAGACCATGGTCCATTGGTCTCCAAAGCCCATGTTCTTTCCAAGCACTTTTACGAGGCAGAACCTATAGGAGAATCGCTCACTATAAATCTGCTGATTTTTCTCATATATGAAACATAAATAACAAAAATCAATAAACAAAATTGAAACAGATTTATAGACACAGAGAACAAACGATGGTTGCCAGAGAGCAGGGGCTTTGGGGGACTGGACAACAAAGATGAGAGGGTAAGATCCACTAGCTGGAATTAAGCCCGTTAGACTAGTACAAGATTACTTAAAAGGGGAACTTACAATTCCATGTACAAGCCCCTGTAATTCTCCTATCTTTCCAGTAAAGAAACCAAATGGAAAGGATGGGTCCCAGACATCCTGGGATTCCAAATCCACCTACTTTATTATCAACCAATCCTGTGGACTGCCAATATTTTTCAGTAACAGATTTATGTAGTGCCTTTTTCAGCATTCCAGTAGAAAAAGACAGTCAATATCTCTTTGTTTCTCCTGGGAAGATTGACAATTTACTTGGACTGTAATGCCCAAGTGATACACAGAAAGTCCCACCTATTTCTCCCAGATATTAAAAGCTGATTTAAATGATGTTAAATTTCCTAGAGATTCCACTCTAATCCAGTATGTGGGTGATTTACTTTTATGCTATAGGACATTACTAGACTCCCCCAAAGGACACAATTTACCTGTTGCAGCAGCTAGCTGTAAAAGGACATAAGGTTTCAAAGGATAAGCTTCAATTTTGCTTATCTCAAGTAAAATACCATGACCATCTCATATCTAAAGATGGCTACTGACTAACCCTGAGAGACTTAGAGGAATCCTATCTTTCCCTCTTCCAAAAATAAGAAAGCAGCTTAGATGGACTTCTGGGTTGGACTGGATATTGTCAAAACTGGGTTCCAAACTTTTCATCAATAGCCCGGCCTCTATATGCCCTAGTGAAGTCAGATCAACGTGATCCAACCTAATGGAAGCGCAAATGAAAATAAGCTATGTAGGCTCTAAAGCAAGCATGTCAAACTCTCAGTCCGTGGGCCGCATGCCTCATTTATTTGGCCCGCGTTTGCCTTTGAGTTTGATATGCTTGCTCTAAAGCAAGTGTGAGGAATGTCCTGCCTGTGGGCCATTTAAGGAATCATTTGATGTGGCCCTGCCAAGGGATTAGGGATGAGTTAATTAAATGTCTGACCAAATATAGCAGGCTAATTTTTAAGTTGGTAATTTTGTATGGCCCAAGAATGATGTTATAAATATCCAAATGACCCTTGGCAGAAAAAGCGTTCCCCACCCCTGCTCTAAAGGAAGTACTGTTAAAGCTCCTGCTCTGGGACATCCAGATTATAAATGTCCCTTCTTCCTTTCACACACGAAAGTAAAGGAAATGCCTTAGGAGTTCTAACTCAGAAACGTGGAGCTCATCATAGACCTATGGGCTATTACAGTCAGCAACTAGACCCAGTAGCAAAGGACTCCCTCCCTGTGTGAGGGTGATCTCTGCTCCAGCCAGGTCTCTCCTTTAGCCATTCATGTTCCTTGTTCTGTTGAATCTTTACTGGACTCTCATCACACTCAACACTTCTCTGTCAGTTGACTGGCTTCTTATGAAATGCTCCTGCTCTCTGCACCTAATATTACTTTAACTCAGTGTAATCATCTTAATTCTGCAGCTTTATTACCCTCTTTACAGGATGAAAACACCTACAAGTGTGTTTTGCTTACTTACACCTTCTTGCTCCTAGGAATGATTTACGGGGAACTCCTAATGACAATGTGACTTAATTTGGTTCACAGATAGATCTTATCTAAAGGATGAACAGGGACATTTCTGAGTTGGATATGCAATAACTTCCACAGTGGACATAATTGAAAGTTCTTATCTACCTGAAATAAGATCTGCTCAGCAAGCCCAATTAACTGCTCTAACTTGGGCTTGTCAATTGGCCAAAGATCAAGTAGCCAATATTTATACTGATAGTCGCTATGCATTTGATGTAGCTCAGGATTCTGGAATGTTATGGAAGCAGTGTGGCTTCTTAACTTCCTCAGGAAAGCCCATAAAAATGGCAAGTGGGTGGAGGAGGTTAAGGGGGTTGGGGGAGGGGACATCTGTCATACTTTCAACAACAAAGGTGCATTTTTTAAAAATGGAAAACTGGTTGCAGAATTTGTAGATGCCATTCAATTGGCACTGATCAAAACCCCAGGGCATTCTAAAGCTACCACCATGGAGAAAAAGGAAATCATTCCACTGATCCTGCAGCTCAGCAGGCGGCATTGAACAGTCAAGTTATCCAGACCCCAGAATGTTCTTTGCTTTCTATTAAATCAATAAAAGATTATCTTTTCCACTATCAACATTCAGCTACAGAGGAAGAAAAGGGAACGTGGCAACAAAAAGGGGGAACCTTTGACCCAGAGAGACAGATATGGCTTGGACCCAATCAGAAACCTATTTTACCTATAGGGGCCCAACTCCCTACCCTTCAGCATGTACATGAGCTAACACATTGGGGTCCTGAAAAGATGATCTCAGGGAGTAAACAATATTACTGAAAGCCTTCTCTTGCTATCGCTCATAATGTGTACAGCAGATGTTCTCTGTCCAAAATATAACCCAGGAAAACCACTCCAGGGATCCCAAGGGCATTGCCCACTTCCTTTGGGTCCATTTGCAGTATGGTAATTGGATTTTATCCAAAAGCAACCATTTCAGAGATACAAATATATATTAGTTATGATTTGTATGTTTTCTCACTGGGCTGAGGCCTTCCCTTGCAGGAGAGCAAGAGCCTTAATGGTTAGTAAGTTGTTATTAGAAAATATAATTCCCAATTGGGGAATTCCCTCTGAATTACATAGTGACCGAGGGACTGAGTTCACTGAACAAATAATAAAATCATCTGTAATATTTAGCCTATCACCCCCAGTCTTCAGGACTTGTGGAACGTACCAATGGTACAATCAAAATTCAACTAGCCAAATTTCAGAAGCCTTTCCACTCCCCTGACAAAGACTGTTCAAAGATGAGAAGCCGACCACAGAGGCAGACAGCTACCACAAGACGTCAAGTAGGCCTGAATGCTCACAAACTGACACTGTTCAAACCTTGTTCTTATATCACCTAATTGTTATTAATTGAATGTACATAAAATGGTTTTTATATTGTTATTATCCTCCTATTGTTTCCTAGTGGAACAATATCTGTCTCCTCAGACCCTTTCCCTTATTAGAAATGAAAAATTTAACTTGTGTACCTGCTAATTTTTCCAACCTACTAGACAATGATATTCTGATTATCAGTTATGATAATGAAGTTAACACTTTGTTGGCCACACACAGGTCTTCTCCTATAAATCTAAGCGTTGGTACATTTTTTTTCTGGATATATCTTTTATAAAGGGCAAATACCTCAAGAA